CAGTCTAATACCTGAACAGAAGGAAAATCTCATTATTTATTTTCTGTAATGCATACATAAAAAAGATCGATCACAATTGCAGTGATAAAAACACTACACACTCTGAACAAAAGGAACTCCTTTTGACCAGCAAATTTTCATCTTTTCACATGAAACAGATGAAAAAAAAATAACATCACACCTCCAACATGAAAAAACCCAGAAATAACCAAGAAGAAAGAAGACAATTTTCAGAAATACCACAAAATAAATTATTTTTTACAGTATCTCTAATTCACGAAACCATCTTTAAAAAAATAAAAACAATAATCAAGAAACCTGAACTGCTGATTAAAGTTACAGAACGACTAGGCCCAACTCTCAGAAGTCAACTTTTAAATCATCAGAACACTATACTCCCGTGTAACAAAGCCAACTGTCTTATCCAATCGTGTTTACAATCTGAAGATGTATGTCTTGCTTCCTATATTGTATTTCAACTTACTTGTATCATCTACCATCATACGTACATTGGAGAAACCGGAAGAACTCTACAGACAAGAATAAAAGAATACATTGACTCTCTTTACAAACTACAACATGAGAGAAGCACGGTTGTAGATATTTCTTTAATTAATAGTAACTCCTGGCATGACTCCATTCTTTTCTATACAAATCTTTAACAAAACTGAATATACTGATAGAAACTTTAAAAAAGCTCGTTTCATCCAACAACTACGATCACAGATGAACAGGACAAAGGATGACAATTACAACTTTATTTTTATCCTAACTTTTATTATTTCAATCATTATTTTCTATACGAACTTCTGATTACTACAGATAACAAGTTATATTTTCAACGATGTAATGTTTTCAACAATGTATAATGTCAAACGCACATTACAGGATGGTTTATAATTTATTTGTTATGGTATGTGTTTTAATGGAACTTCTAAAGATACCGTAAAGCGTAGCGTTGAGTATCCACTTAAATAAAAAACAACTAAATTTGAAGGAAAACTCTAGCCTTGTGGTAACAATCATTTCTAAAATTACAACTTCTTTTTTTTTCCATACTGCTTAAGACTTTACTGTTGAAGGAAAATACAGCAGAAAATATCAGGTTTTGAACAGTGCCGGTACTTGGTTTAAACTTATAATCCTTTATTCACCACTAATAACTTAAATACTTTAGGTTTTTGGATAACATGTAGCACATCGGCACAGTTAAATATGCATTATTATTCAGCGGACTAACTTGTTATACATTTGTTCATTTTTCATCTCCAGCAAAACGTGAATTTTAATGAAAAATATTGAAGTAGAAGCCTAGCATATTTTTTGATTACCTACTACCGTTGCAACAAACAAATGTCGCTGAACGAAATAAATGAATCAGGTAGGCCTCACATAGTGGTGGAATGTAAGCAGTTTGTTTGGATTAGATGTGTAGTCCTTTGCGTTTTGGTGAAGAAAAGAAACTCACAAGTAAGGTGTTGTTACAACAGATCCAGAGACTAATCTGAAATAGGTAAACTTGTGGTGAGAAGGCATTTCTACAATTGATAATAATACCTTTCACAAGTAAGGTGTTGTTACAACCGATCCAGAGACTAATCTGAAATAGGTAAACTTGTGGTGAGAAGGCATTTCTACAACTGATAATAATACCTTTCACAAGTAAGGTGTTGTTACAACAGATCCAGAGACTAATCTGAAATAGGTAAACTTGTGGTGAGAAGGCATTTCTACAACTGATAATAATACCTTTTGATGACTTTTTTAAAATACGCATATTAGATTTTCTGAAAACGGATTCGCATGATGGAAGTGTAATGTGTAAGCACTGTTTGTTTGTTTTTAAAAATCGCATAGTAATAAGTAGTGGTCATCTAGTAAGTCCTAGTTTATCAACACGTTGTAGTTTTATGAAATACTTGAACTGTAGAAACCTTAACTTTTTCTCTTCAACGATTATATTATTTTATTCCAGAGGATTTACTAATGCTTTTTGTAAATTTCGTTACAAAATATAGCAGTAATAATAATAATAATAATATATATATGGCTTCTTGGAGTAGTTTTAAGTTAAATTGGATGTGGATTTATATAAGTTCGAAAAAATAGCTAGAAGTGTTCTGTGATAAATGGACAATATTTATGATAATGATGTTGAGATACAGGTGTTTTTCTGACAATACCTATGATGGTGATGTTGAGATACAGGTGTTTTCTGACAATACCTATGATGGTGATGTTGAGTTACAGGTGTTTCTCTGACAATACCTGTGATGGTGATGTTGAGTTACAGGTGTTTCTCTGACAATACCTATAATGATGATGTTGAGATACAGGTGTTTCTCTGACAATAACTCTGCTAATACCGATATGTAATGGACGTGTTTCTTTGTTGTTGAGTGCTCCCCCACTGTATAGTCTAGCAGAACAAACACATTACCATATGTCTGGCCAGTAGTTTTCAATGAACGTCATATGTACTATGTAGTAGTATTTTTTTCCTTTTTGATAGTGTTAGTATTCACCAATTGTTTATAAAAAAAAAAACTACACCCGTGAAAATCTTCAGGTTGGTTATGAGAATTTCCCATGACTCTAAACCAAGAAAGAACGAACAGTAATTTCCTTATATATACAGGGTGGGCCAAAAGTAGGGTTACAGTTAACACTTAAACATTTTTCC